AAAAAAAAACTATTTCGTAGTTTTGCGCCTAATTAAAAACCATTTCTGCTTAAGTTTAATTTTGCCTATGACATATAACATTAGAAAAGATCAATATGATTTCTAACATTAGACATGAATTAAAATAGAATATCTCATGTAATTTGTAATACTTTTCCTAATGCTTTATTGAAAAATAAATTGGCTCAACATCGTATGAAAAGAAGAACTTTTCGTCGCTTTGTTCAAAATTTCCCGTGCAGATAAAGAAAAAATGTGGTTTACTTAACCCTCACTTCAAGGAAAGCTATGATAAAGAGTACATCTTATGTAGAACACTATTTTTTTTTTCTAGTTAATTATGCATTATAAAAAAATTTCAACTTAGAACAATCATTCATTACTTTGCAAAAAAGTGCTTGGATGATTTTAGAAGAATGAAAAATGACATGCTGTGATTATATCGTCACCCGAAAACTAAACAAATACACGGATTAATCTGTGATTTCTTCCAGTATACTAGAGACTATGTGCTGTAATCAGAGAAAAACAAGTTCATTCGAGTTCATCTAATTTTTGAGATATACACAAAGTGTAATAAAATTATCTACTATTTGGATAATTTTCACAGATACTGGATATATCTATCTATCTATTATTGCATCAATTTTAGATAAAAATATGTTTATAATCAAGTGTGCTCATCAGCAGTTTAACTTGTTATGTTTATGAACAAAATTTCTTATGTAATATTCTGATTCTATATTAGTTTTAGATAGGATAATATTACTAATTAATTGAAATTCACTAAATTATTTTAATCGATTGGGTTCAGCATAAACTTAATGTCACATTCGATGATAACTTAACGCATGTTAATAACTCAGGTTGTTGTCTTTTACTTTACTCAAGACACTAACAATGACCATTTCATGCAAACTTAAGTAAGGTGCAAGATTCAATAACTAGATTACTTACAAGAAACAAATTTTCGTATAAAATAGTAATATCACAATATATGATTAAAAAGATACTCCTGTTCACAGTAAAATATACAGGATGATGAAAATTTCACTACTACTGAGTAATATTATCATTTATTATTAATGACAAGATCGCACATTATTTTACTATGAACTCTCTCAAATGATGATATTTAAGTTGTTCATGATCACCGTTTCGCCTGATATGTTTATATATTCACATTATGACATCAGATATTTCTTTTTTTTAGATTTTTAGACACTGGAAACTGGTAGAGATTTACCTCGGCAAGATCAAATAGGTAGAAGACTATTCGTATCTGTTTCGTTTATAATACTTTATCCTGATGTAATTTTCATAATCTTACATACTAATTTTTATGAATTTTAATTGAAGAGGAAACCTTCCCAAGTGATCAAAAGCTTATGAGGTGAGACTTCCTTCATCAGATAGAAATCTGATGAAACCAGGCCAAGGCTAGAATGGATTTTATCTAGAGTTAGAACCGGTCACGCCTTGCCGATCACCGGTCCACTTGAACTTGTAAAACTGACCGGTTTTCATCTGTTCTATGTTGCTCATTTTTATTGACTTCTGTGTCTTTAAAAATCCAGAAATATGAGTTTAAAAGCCTCCAACTGACAAAGTTCTAGCCATCATCCAAGTTCCTGTTGTAAATCTTGACCTCACGCTTTCTCATCTTATGGTAAGAGTCTCGGGTTATATTGAATGAATTTATTATGATCAGAAAAAGATAGCCAACCGCCAGAATTTATATTGTATGTAAAGTAAAGATTTTTCACCACGAAATTTCAAGCTAACTTTTCTAGACTACTTTTAACTGACTGTCAGAAACACTAAATGGCTAATGGTTTCCAGTTCATTCTTTCAATACAAATATATGAGAAAAGATCTTATTCTCTTAAGAAAGTTATGCCAACCAGTAGGATCATGCAACTGTGAAGACATCTAGGTATTAAGAGACAAATCTTTGAAGTCTAGTATAAAACTGTACTTCGTAGCTTCTTTTATCTTTCTATCAACAGAAGCACTCTTACAAATTGAGAAGCTTTCAATTGTGTTAAGTAATGATTTCAAATAAGAGTTGACCATATTGATTAATTCTTGTAAAGAAATCAGATCTTTACTAGGAAATGTCAGACACAACAAACCATAGACATTGTTCAATATCAGTTATTGTTAATTAACTAGATGAAACATTTTGAAAAATTTCTTCCTTTGTTCTTAGTATGAGCGTACATCAAATGTGATAATTTAAAATAAAAGCTATTACTATTCGAAACTTCAAGAATTATATGATTTTCATATTTTATGCTGTGGCGTAACTGTATTAATCAACTTTTCTCAAAAGAATTACTGAATTGGTTACTTGATATATTAAACAGAATGATTTTCGCCAATAAAGCCAAGAGTTTCAGCCAGTTCAAAAAACTTTACCGTTTCCAAGTATGATTTTCTTGCTAACTCTCTGTTCTCGAGTTATAATCGTTTACTAGTTTTTTGCCTTATATTAAGAGATACACCAAGAAAAATCGAATGCTTCAATTTTGATATGAAATTTTGTAGTCAAAAAGATCTCAATTAAATCATATATTTCCATCTCGAGTTATAAGATTCTCTCAAAATCACATTTTGTGGAACTTATATATTCAATCAAGTAAAATAGTAAGTGAAAATAAGACGACAAGTTTTTTTTGGCTCGCCTGCCTCCTTTTTCCTGATTTACAACAGGATGGGATCCCAGCTGCCACTAGGAGGTAATACATGTTAAAATGATGGTATATTGATTTGAAGCTGAATGAAGATTCACTGATCTATTTTATTATATGACGAACAAGAGGAAAATATGAAAATTAGCAAGAGTGCAGAGAAAGAACAAGAATAATGTGAATAGATGAAGAAGTGATTGACTGAATGTAGCAGTGAAGCAAAAGTTTAATTGTGTAATGAAAGAGTATAGAACTGCGACAAAAAAAAACATTTTATTTTTGATTTCAAGCTTTCAACAATTTACAATTGGCATCAGCCAGGAATCATTAGAAAAGAACAAAGTTAAGCTATATATATATATATATGTATACAAATTAAAGTATAGTGAAATTGTAATTGTGTTAGCTTTGATGTATAAATTTATATTGTAATTTTTTTTCCTATGTTCTGTTCTGTTCTGTCTTGTTTTACATACGTATATGTATAGCTTAACTTTGTTCTTTTCTAATGATTTCTTGATGATGCCAATTATAAATTATTGAAAGCTTGGAATCAAAAAAAAATGTTTTTTGTCGCAGTTCTATACCCTTTCATTGCATACTTATTTCAACCTGCGCTTTGACCCAATTATATACAAAAGTTTAATAAAGAACTAAAGATGTGTACGATGAAGAAAGAGTTAATGAGATATGCATCAGCGACAAACATAAGTGTGCAACGAGTGAATTACAATAATCAAGGAAAGAATTGTAACTAACGAGAAAACGTATAGAAAAGAAAGCAATCACAAACATTGTAAATCTTTTGAGTGTAAAATTTCAAATTAAAATTCAAACTTTAGATTCTTTTATTGTGTATCTAAATATACCCCAAAAAATTAGTAAAGTGAATATAATTCGAGAACGAAGACCCGACGATAAGATCTATTCTCGTCTTAGTCTAATCTCGATACATTTTATATAATGAGGAAAGATTCACCTCAAAAGTTTTGCTTCATTCCGAAGAATTCTTTCTTGCAGTCATCAGTTAATGAATAATGCCGGAATATCAACATTTTATTTCATGGAAATTAAAGTTTTTATTTATCATCAGTGTACAACACATTATCATAGATTTTAATCAAAATTATAATCAAAGTTATGCGCATGAAAACTAAAATTAAAATGTATGAAACTTGAATATTTTGGTCAATTATAATTGATTTAGAGTTAATTATAGTAAAATTAATAAATTTGATTACTCTGTAACAAAATCAAAATCAAAATCTGATTTTTTGCAAATTGTAATCAGACGATAATCATTCATAATTGTATTGTAATGGATTGTAATTTTAATTTTGTTACAGAATAATCGTATTTGTGATTTCGATTATTACTATAAGATTTTGAAATTTTAATCAATTTTAATCAGATGAAATTTTTATTGCATGAGTGAAATGATGAATAGAACTTTCAATTATTTGACAAAAATCTTCTCGAAGAAATTGTAAAATTATATCTTGATATATATATATAGTTGAACTATGTATTCTTCACAATGTGTTTCTTTTAGATTATTCTATTCATAAAAAGTAGTTTTTTAACATAAACAATGTCAACAAACGAAACATATAATATGATGAATTATTCATTGACATATTCAATTAAGTTTGCTGTGTTATTGGCACTTCAAATTCCTTCAATTCTAGTCTCACTTATTATCTTTATTTATTTTGGTTACAATCGTACTGCTCTTATAAGAGATCACAATCATTCTATACTTCTTTTACTTTTAATTAATTTTGTTCAAGTCATTTCTGATCTTCCTATGCCAATGAGTTTCTTTCGTTTGGATGGCATTGTTCAACCAGCTACATCAGCTTATTGTACTTGGTGGATATGGTATGAATTTTCTTTAAATACTACTAACGGTCTTCTTATGGCTTGGATCTCTATTGAACGTCATCTATTAATATTTCATCGTAATTTTATTCAAAATATAAGTATTTGGAAACGACGATTACTTCGTATAGTTCCTTTGGTATTCTGCTCTTTTTGGGGACCATTTTATTATACTCTTACTGTAATTATTAGTCCTATGTGTACAAATGAACGATATTTTGATAGACTTTTATGTGGTATGCCATGTCATTTATTAACTAATTGGGGTACATTTGATC